AATGAATCATTTCCTAGGGAAATACAGTTGATCAAAATTGCCCCTATTAAAGGTAGAAAGTTTAAGTAGATAAATTTCTTTAAAAGAAGTGAACTATTAAAGACCTATCTTAAAAAAATTCACCAGGCCCATATGATTCCAGGGAGAATTCTACCAAACCTTTAGCGACCAGAGTGTCCCAATTGTCCACAAATTATTCCAGAATATTGAAAATGAGAGAAATCTTTCTAATTCTTAAGGCATGAATAACATTTACAAAGGTAGCACACAGAAAAGAAAAAGAAAGTTACAGACCAATATCACTAATGTATATAAATGTGAAGGTTCTAGATAAAACATTAGCAAATAGAATCGAACATCATTTTAAGAAAATAATATACCATGACCAAGTAGAATTTATTCCAGGAATATTCAGTGTTAGAAAACCCACTAATAGATACACTTTATTAATATGTCTAAGGGACATATATATGACTATCTCCATAAATGCTAAAAAACCTTTGACAAAATTCAACACCCGTTCAACACGAAATAGAAATTGATATTTACTTTCTTTATAAAACACACATTCACATCATCTTATTTAAGGGAGAAACACCAGCGGCATTTCCATTCAGGTTGGGAAAAGGCAAGGATGCATACAATCTTCATTACATTCTAACACTACACTGAAGATATTGGGAAATGCAATTAGATAGGAGAAATCAGTCAGAGAGAGAGAGCAGGAAATAAGGTGTAAGAGAATATCTATTTGCAGATGAGACGACAGTACACCTGAAAAACCCTGGTGAACCAGTGAGCAACCTGACTCAAACAATAAAAGGTTCAGTAAGGTAGTTGATATAAAACTAATACAGAGAAATCAATAGTCTTCATATCCAAAACAATAACTAGTTAGGGGATATAATGGTAGAGTAAAACCCCATTTATGAGATCGACAAAGAAGATGAGCTAAAATGCTTATGGATACACTTAATAAGAAATGTGAAAAACTTTTAAATACTCCTGAAAGGCATAAAAATAGATTTTAACAAATGGAAAGACATCCCATGATGTTAGGTAAATGACGAACACTGTAATGATGCCAGTTTTCCCTAAGTTAATTTATAAATTTAACACAATCCTAATAAAAGAATAAGCTTTTCTTGAACTAGACAAGTTAACACTCAAGTTCATATGCGAGGAAAAACAAGCAAGAATAGACAGAGAAATGTTCAAAGAGATAAGCTACAAGAGTATGTTTGTGTGTGTGTGTGTGTGTGTGTGTATGTGTGTGTGTGTGACTAGTCCTACCAGACATATACAAATTTCCTAAAGCCTATTTAATTAACAAAGTTGGTACTGGCACCTGAATAGACAGACTAATGGAATAGAGTGGAAAGTGCAGAAATAGACCCACATGCATGGGGAAATTTAATACATGATAAAGGTTGTACTTCAGATTGTAGCGGCAGAGGTAGAGTTTTTAATAAACAGTCTAATTGCTGGCACCTCTGGTTGGCCAGTTGGAAAAGATAAAATTAGACCCAGACCTCAGACCTTATACTTCATACAAGAATAGACTCTAAATGGATCAGGAATCTAAACGTAAAAGATAAAGCCACACAAAAAATGTGGCTGACAGCTTCCTCTTTCTGGAGGGAAAGTCTTTTAAATTATGGCTTAAAATCCAGATATAATAAAAGAAATGATTAATAGATTTGAGTATATAAACATTAAAAATTAATAGAAATATAATAGGAAAAAGGTAAATATTCAGAATATATATATTTTAATCCTTACAAATCCATTTTAAAAAGTAATTAAAGAACCAAAGGAGATGAAGAGTCAATTCACAGAAGAAGCAACTTTAATAACAAAATAAAAATATGAAGGATCCTTAACCACACTAGTTATCAGGGAAATGAAAAGTAAAATACCACAACATAACACTCATCAGAATGAAAAAAATCATAAAGTCTGACAGTGCCAAATACTGGTAAAAATGTGAGGAAAGACAAACTCTTACACTGCTCATGGAATCACAAATCAGCACAAGCACTTGGAGATGTCCATTGGCGGGGTTGGTAGCTGACTATGTTCATATCTGAAACCTGCACACGCTAAAACTTGGTAGAATGGAAACCTAGAGCAGCTTCATGGCTGTCCTAAAAGAGTTTTCAGAAATTATGTACCCACTACACATTTTTAAGTTAACATAAATGTTTTATCATAAATTTAAGTGTTTCCAAAAGATGTAATTTCTGCCATATTATAAACATTGTCATTTTGAAATAAAACTCGTCACTTTTTAAAATGTATCTGATGAAATCTAAAAATCATGGAGATTTGATACCAACCAACTTTGGGTTACAATCTAATACTACATTAAGTTTTTTTTTTTTTTTTGCTTAAATTGTCCACCTTTGGCCATTGGGAGCTCTTTCAGTTGGCTCCTGTGTCCTTTTGTCACACCCTCATTGTTTTGATTTTTGAGCACTTCTTACTGGCACTACAAGATGCTTCAATTCATCTTCTGCATTTCCTGCCTCAGTCCTAGAAGGAGCCATTTCTCCAAGGAATCCTGACTCCTTTGATTGGAGAATGGTATGAGAAACCAAGTTCTGGCTGCCACTGATTTTATTTTAATTACTTGATCTCTCATTTCTAGAATTTGTATTTTGTTATTTCCCAAATCTGCTGTTTTCATACTATCTTGACTTTGCCTTACCTTTGCATTCAAATTTTTTTCCTCTTTGAGCATTTTATTCATATCTGTTTTAAAAACCTCTTCACTTTGCTCTACTTAGAGTTTTAGGGGGTAACTTGTAGTGGCTGCTAATTCTTCTCCGTGGTAGTTCAATTCCTTATCCATTTGTCTTCTTCTTCTTCTTCTTCTAGTAAGCTCATCTTCAGCAAGAATTGTTTTCCATAGGTGTTTTTACGCCATGGGTACTGGGACGATTTCTTCAATGTAGTTACTCTTTTTCTTATTTACCTGTCGGTTTAATGGACTTTGGTGCAGTTTTTTATGTTAGTTTCCCAGCCTGGAGCTCCTGTGCAGTGAGGTTGTGTGGACTTTGTCCACCTACTTCAGCCAAGCAAAGGCTTATCGTTCATGATTTCTTGTGGGTAACTTTTCCAACCTATGGCCCAAGATACTAATCTGTCTTGCAGCATCCTTGGGCTATTAGGCAAATTTTTTGAGATACCTGTTTCACGAGGGGCCAGGATTTATAAGGTATCTCAGTCCAGGCATTTCATGCACACTAGGCTATAGCGTGGAATCTCAGTGCCTAAACTATATTAAAGTCCCAGCCTCTAACCTCTATGGGATCCTGATTTCCCCATAAGTACCTTGGCTTAGCTCCCACTCTCTGCTCTGACCATGAATTTCCTCTTTATTACTGTGACCTGAGAATTAGCTTTCCTTGGTTTCTGGTTGAGCTTAGTATTTATAAACTCTTATTAAGTAAATCAGTACTTACAGGTGTTTGAGAAACAGGAGCATATGTTTCCATATCTGCTCATTTTACTTATCTAATGAAGACACACATATATTACCGGCTATGTGCCAGGCATTGTTCCCAGCAATTTACATATAACAGTTTATTTAATTGCCATCACATCCCCATTGGGTTGCAGAGGATTTAGTTTACCCTACCATCTTCACTTCTACTGATTCCTTAAGTTTCAGCTCAAAGGCTTCCTCCTCTGTGATACCATCTCTGGGAAGATTTTATGCTCTTTCTCCTATGCCCTCATTATAATTTGTACTTTCATCAAAGCAATGAATTATATTGTTCTAACTTGTTTGCACGTTTCTTTTCCCAATAGACTTTAAACTCATTAAGGTCTAGGACCATGACTTTTATCACTGTAGAACTAGTATCTATCATAGATTCTGGCACATAAACACTTCTAATATGTTTTTTTAAAATGAATTATATCACATATGAATGAAAAGTGGCTTTAAAGCAGTATGTCAGAGTTTATACTTTTCTTGTGAATGATTTTGCCACAAGAAATGTGAATCTAGCTTAATACAAGTAAATTATTTTTTTTTTTTTTTTTTTTTTGTGAGGAGATCAGCCCTGTGCTAACATCCGCCAATCCTCCTCTTTTTTTGCTGAGGAAGACGGCCCTGGGCTAACATCCATGCCCATCTTCCTCCACTTTATATGGGATGCCGCCACAGCATGGCTTGCCAAGCAGTGTGTCGGCACGCACCCGGGATCCGACCCAGCGAACCCCGGGCTGCCGCAGCGGAGCGCGTGCACTTAACCGCTTGCGCCACCGGGCCGGCCCCCTAAATTATCTTTCTTTTTAAAGAATATAATGATTGTCACCCTTCTATGACTATCATTTGAGCAAATATAAAAATTTAAATTCTTATATTTACACATGTATATTTCATAAGTATATTTATAAATTCATCATGACCTTTACCCTACAAAATCCACATTCAATGTTTTCATAGGTTAATTATGATATTCCAGAATCTTTTTTACTTTTCTCAGCCCAGGAATAGTAATGTCATTGGATCCAGAAATAAAAAGTGAAAGACAGTTTATGGTAAGAATTTACAGAAGAAAATATGACTATCATATAATTAATCAGTGGAGTCTGGTAGTAAATCAAAGAATAAATCACTCAACGGTCTACTTGGGTGGTGGACAGAGTAAAAGTTTAAAATGTACATGGGCTTTGGAGTCAGAGCTGAATTGAATTATGAGTTGGCTACTGTTTTATCTTTGTGCCTTAGAACATACTACTATCTAGATTTCAGTTTTCTCTTTTATAAAATGGGGATGAAATTGATTACTTTTAAGGGTGAGTTGATGGTTAAATGAGATCAATTATGAGACAGCACAGAGCACAGTTCCTGGCAGTTGAGGGCATTCAACACCTGGTAGTTCGTGCCTTCTATCCTTACCACATTCCTCAAGTAATTTCGCACAATTTTATTATTTTCTCAATCACTTTGGTTGTAACTCTTGGGTTACATAATCCTCCCTTAGTACCACATTTTAGAAAGTGAGAGAATACTCTTCTGCCATTTCTTTTTTAGTAAGGGCTTGCTGTATAAGCCAGCAGATTTATGTCCTAATGGGACAACATAAGATGAATTGTTTAATTTCCAGATCTATATATTTTAAAATAGTGACATTTACTTTAAAAAGTGGTTTGACATCTCTACAATTTATATGATATTCTAATTTCAAAATGGTTTTAATGGGATTATTTTTTAAAGATATTGAATCATTTTTCCGTCCTAGGAAAGTAAAATATTCTTCTTCCCTAACTATAATAATTCTATAATATTGATCTTATGATCCTTTATCAAAATTAATGAAATTGTTATAATTTAATTACAGTCACAATTTATTTTTATGCTGGAAATGTTCTCTAAGTGGGTAAGATAAATTGAACTTGCATTTGCTTTTGATTAATATTTAATTAGACATAAAAGATAAGAGAAATGCTGGATTTCCTAACTCCTATTCCATTTAATGTGAATATCTACTTGGTATACTAATGATAATAAAAGTGATTATTTGTATTCAACTTTCAGTTTACAAAATACTTTCAACCTAATAGTTTATTAAATCTTTCCTAGAACACTCTGAGATGTGTATTACTATCAACATTTTATACATGAGAAAAAAAGAGTCTCAAAGGTTAGTTTGGCCAACGTCACCAGGCTTGTCTGTGCAAAGCTGGGTTACCTACTGTACTTTATTTCCTCTATTATACATAACATATTAGAAAAATGGTAATTGTCCAGCATATATCTTAAGTTCAAATTCTAAATGTAATTTTAAGTGATATCTTAGACTTTAAGACGCTTGGTTTTAAAAATATTATTTGGTTTAGTTATGAAATACAAATCAACTATTGGAATAAACAGTTATAGCAGTAAATGACATTCAGTAGCCTAGAGATAAAGTGAAAACACACAGGCACACAGAGACTCTGTATAAAGAATAAATTTATATATGGAACTAGGTGATTTTATATAGTCTGATATTATGTAAAGATATACCAAAGATTGAGGACATTACGCTAAGCGAAATGAGCCAGTCACAAAAGGACAAATACTGTATGATTCCATTTATATGAGGTCACTAGAGCAGTCAAATTTATAGAGACAGAAAGTAGAATGGTGGTTTCCAGGGGCTGGGGGAGGGGAGAATGGGGTGGCAGTGTTTGATGGGTATAGAGTTTCAGTTTTACAAAATGAAAAGAATTCTGGAGATGGATGGTAGTGATGGTTACACAACAATGTGTACTTAATACTTTTGAACTGTACACTTAAAAGCGGTTAAGACGGTAAATTTTGTTATTTGTATTTTACCACAATTCAAAAAAAGACATACCTCTTATATATAAAAGGTTTCCATTTTTTGGCAAATATGGATTTATCATGCGCGTGGTTTTATAATGCTCTTTCTCTACTAACGGTGCATATATTTTTAAAAATGTAATGTAAATTGACATTTTCAAGAACGCCTTTTGCAAATTTCAAGCCCACACAGGGCACTGCACAGCACCTCTTTCACTAAAAGGTGCAAGGGTTTTGCGTTGTTTGCAGAAGTAGTAGAGATGGGTAGTATAATACGAATACATGAACGTTTTCTGCTAAAACCTGAGAAAATTTTCAGGAACCTTATGCTAACACTTTTCAGGGAAAAATGATGGGTTTGTGAAATACGTGAATCGTAAACCCACAGCATGGGAACCCAAACTTGAGGGATGAGCAGGCATTCCTGAGGTCTCCGAGGGAAGGAGGGCACTCCAGTCAGATGGGACAGCTGTGTAAAGGTATGGAGTGGGAGGGGATGGCAGCCACTTAGGTCTGGGAGGGCAGGTAAGGCAGGTGGGAGGCTGGAGAGCCAGTCAGAGGCCAGCTCACTGAGGGGAGGGCCGCGAGCACCCCGTGAGGCACGTTCCACTTTCCTATGGCTGACGTGCCATCCATGAAACATTTTAAATGGTTGCATTTAGCAAAGTCGCTCTGATTTCAGTGTGAAGGGCAGATTAGAGAGCAACAAGCTGGAGGCAGGAGTAGGCTGTAGGAATAGTGTGGAGCTTGAAATGAAGCAGGGGGCAGGGAGAGTACAGAGCCCGGAGCTCGGAGGCAGTAAGAGGGAGAACCAGCAGGGCTTTTACGTCCCTTGGATCTTAGTAAGCAATGACTAGCTATAAGAGAAAAGTCGTGAGAATCAAGACAGCTAGTGGAATAAGAAACAATCTGGTAATAACCGCTAAAATATTATTCCAGCACATATCCAGGATCTTCTACAAGAGAGTTTGCTTATATTTGAACCAAATTCTTACCTCAGGTCTTGAAATGGGTCGGCGCTTACAAGGGGCGTCTCCACTGAATGTTCAAAAAGAGCCCCTTCAGGCCCTAAGCAAAACCAAAGACGCGTCAGTGCACAAAAGGGAACTAGAGGACACCAGACAAGTTAAAAGTTTAGACTATCTATTAAAGCACAAGTCGACTTTGATTTTTATTCCTGAATTTGTGCAGATGTTTGGGTTGCAAGAAAACAATAGACACAAGTGCTCTCCTGCTCTTCAAAGGCCACCAGGATCTCATGAGTTTCCCATAAACAGAAGGTGATTTTAAAGCAATTACAGACATGCAGCCTTATTCTAAAATTAGAAAGCAAAATTAGCCTTCAAACTGAAAAAAGTAATTTCAGTTGAAGATTGTATAAGTCCATATATTTTAGGTAATAGTAATTTTACTCATTCTCTAGATTTTATATGTAAAAATTGTATCTTATGTCATTTGTTCCTCAAGGCACATCAGGAAATTTATAGAAAAAATTAAAAATTTTAAATATTTAAACTGACTTTCTAATTTCTAGGAAGTAGTATGTCCCCAGTTCTTTCATTAGTTTGAGAACCTAATTATATGCTACACACGGTGTCAGAGACACAAAGGTGAAAGTGACGTGCTCTTTGATATATCTAACTTGTTAATACTCAGAACTCTCCAAGGAAGGTAAGATTATTTTCCCACTTTACTGAGGAGGACACTGAGGAACAGAAAGGTTAATTAACTTTCCTAGAATTACACAGCTAAGTGGCAGGGCTGTGATTTGAACACCTTTAATCTATATGCTATATGATTTCTCATACATAAATAACAAACACGATACGCTGGAAAGTAATGTGCCAGTAGCAAAGTGTGACTGAGTTATTTTGGGGGTCATCACCAGGGAAGAATCACTTTAAGGCAGCAGGGAAGATTTTCTATACTAAAATGCAATTGGTCTGAATCTTAAAATAAATAGACATTTGTGACTATATGGAGGTTGTGGACAATGATTTTCAAGGAGAGCAGTAGCCAGGGGCGGGAAAATGTGACCAGTGTATAGAATGAACGAATAATCCAGTTCACCGGAAAAGTAAAGGATTCAACATGAAAATACGAATTTATTTTTCATATTACATTTAAAATATTTCTCCTGTTTAATTGTATGGGCGTACACACAGACTTAAGTAGTACCACATTGGCTATACCCACTCATCACGATTTACCCAGGCCCCTGCGCCTGTCCTAGGCCCCGTCTCTTTCCTAGGCCCCACCCTTTCCTAGGGTCTGCCCTGGCTTAGGGTCTGCAGCTGCAGTTTGCAAATAGTTTCCCTCCCTCTTGGTTCCAAAAGGAGCTCAGGACACGGCTTCACATTGTGCAGACTTTCCCCCTTACGGAATACCGAAACAGTTTAAATGTCTATTTTCTAATCTACTGTTGTACTAGTTTTGATACTTGGCATTGCAAGCCTGGGTATAAGTCTCCAGGGAACTAAGTTGAGAAATCACGAGCTGGAGCAAAAGTCTCATTGGCAGCCCTCACCAGGTTAACAATTCACAATACCCTCACATTCTCTCCACAATATTACTAGCTATAGTAGCTTTGTCATTATAATCACTGCTTCTTCAACAATTTTGTTTAAATATGAAGACACGACAAAAGTGCACATTGAAAGCCCTCATTCAAGAAACAATAGTTTGTGGCACATAAGTAAAACAGACTTAAATCAGTACAAAATGAAATTTCATAATTACAAGCCTGAATTGGTAGTGTGATCAACATAAGAATTATAATCAACTGAAATAAAAGAACACACATAAGTGAAGGTTAACGTTTCATGAAAATTATATTTCATGCAAATTATATTCAGATGAGAAAGAGATCCTCATACATACTATGACAAGACACATCTCCTTAAAATAACACTCAAGCAAACCTAAATGATAATGGTGACCGAGACACAACATAAGACTATACTAAGCCTTAGGGTTTCTACAATCAATGGTGCCAGTCAAATTTTGTAGTACAATGTCTGGTTCTCCTGAAGTACAGACAACATTTTCTGTTTGGTGTGTGGAAACAATTTAACACAGTAATTTGTATGATACTTGTATTCCCTTTATCCTTTTCCTTCCCCCTTGCTTCTCCTGATTTGCAAAATATAAAAGAAAAAGTAAAGAAAAAATGGATCTCAAGTCATTATAAGACAAGTAGAGATATGCTAAGTATAGTTTTATACATCAGTAGAGTTATTGTCTGCGGTTTATATGGCGTTGTTTGAAACATGAGTAGAGCTTTGTTATGAGGACCTAGGAAGAGCTTTATAAATCGTTAAAAAACAATGATTCCTTTCCATAGTTAGGATGATAGAATCAAAAGGAATGTGGGCTAGAAACTTTTGTGTAATTATTTTACCTCTTTATTCTTATATAAATAAAATGATATGATGACTGAGAAAAAAAAGTTTCAACACATTTTGCTCTCTATAAACATACACTCTATAAAACAAGCTAGAAACTGCAATGTGTTCCAGTTGCATAGGCAACTTTTTATTTTAACACAGCTTCAATTCTTTTTCCTCTAAGAGCTGAAGTTATTCTAAGAGTGCCAATGGCACTATTTTACAAGGAAATATAACTCCATACTTAGGTTTTAAATGAATGCCAATTACTTACCTTCTAATATGAACAGAGTTGCTGATATTATAGTGATATGTGATAATGGTAATGTACTCATAGGCAGACATAGTCTATAAACTATGTATCATCTTTAAAAAAGAGGAGCAGTTTCTCTATCATTAAAATTGTAAATGCCCAAATTATATGACCTTGAGTATATCATTACTATTCAGCCTCAAAATAAATACTTCTTAGAACCTATTTGCATGTAATAAAATGGATGTTTCCTAAATTGTTTCACAGAATAATTCTCAGTAAATCATTGTTGATTTTCAATGTAATTACATTTCCTTTATGTTTGCACTCATATTTACACATTCCCAACCCAGATTATATAAAAAAAATATAATTGGTGTAACACCTATTCCTTGTAGAAAATAGAACATATTATTTAAGGTTGTTTAATCTAAATTTTAGGCAGGGAGAAAAAAGTTCCACTATAAAATATCATCATATAAATCACATATTAAAATGACCCTGTATAACACGACCTTGTATAAATATTATTTATACAGAAAAGTACAATCAGAAGCCAAAAACAAAAGAAAAAAGGCCCAGTCTTATAATGCTACCTTGTTATTTAGAACATGGCACTGAGATTAGACATAGTAAATGGTCTAGTCATTTCTACTATAACGCATCAGTAGTATTTGGATGGCACCATTCTTCTCTTCTGAATCTTAGAACAACTTATGATGAATGATACTCCTGTGAAGAGCTGTAGTCAGATTGTGGTACAAGGTGGACTGGGATGGTGGTGAAGGCGCTGAAGAGTTCATGGTTAGAGCCCAACAACCGGAAGGGAAATTGCTTCCAGTTGCTCCCGTCTTCCCAACATGCTGCTACTCCTAGGTTACTTCACTTACAGAAATACATAGTGTTCAATATTAATTCTTCTGTTCAAACAGTTGATAAGATACACCCAGACACTGATAATTTATTAAGATTAATTTCACATTCATTGAGCATTTATGGACTGAAATGGGCTTTTCAAGTGCTGCAAAAAAATTTTGTTGCTCCCCTTCACAGCCAACCTTCCACATAATGTGTCTACTGCCTCCCATTCTACTCACTCTGCAGCCACTTCAAATTGGCTTTTGCCTTAATTCTCCAATGAAAATGCTCTTGTTTAAGATAGTAATGACCTCCATGATGATAGATCCAAGGGCAATTTCTGTCCTCACCTATTCTAGACCCAAATTCTGAGAACACAGTCTCTCTTGGCACCAGGAAAATGGCTCTTGTGACATCCCTCCTGCCACTTTGTCTGTCCCTTCTCACTCTCCTTGGGTGGCTACTCTTCCTTTATCTGGGTCTAATGTTGGCATCTCTCAGTGCTCAGTTGGTTGATGATGCCCTCCATTTATATCTCTAGTTGAGACTTCTGCTCTGAGCAATAAATAGAAAGCTCACATATCCAATAATTGACTTGACATACCCACTCGGCTGTTTCACAGATATCTTCAATTTATGTATCTAAAACATTGTTGATTCTCTGTCATGCAAATGTACTCTTCTCCTCTTTAGGCATCTCCGTAACCCAGAGACCAATGCCACCATCCAGAAACAAATATAATCTTTTCATCTTTGATTCCCTCCCTGGATGCCTGCCACCCATTTGATCCATTGGCAAGTCTTTATATGCTAGTTCTTAATTTGGAGTCATTAGCTTCTCTCTATGACCATTGTTACCACTTAGTCCAGGTCACTATCATCTATTGCTTGTACTACAATTAACATCCTCCTAAATGGTGTTGTTACTGAACCAAGTGGGTTCGCCTCCTGGCAGAGTTAAAAGCAGACTCTTGACCAGAAGTAGTTGTCACACAAAGTAGAACTTATTTGCAGCAAATAGGAGGCCACACAGAATCATTTCCAAAGTCATGGCTGTCCCCCAGCAAAGGGAAGCAGAAGCCTTTTATTTCGGATGGGGACTGAATATTCAAAAGGGAGGTGGGTATCCACTGCACAGGCTCAGTTGGAAAACATGCTTCCACATACACTGCAGGTTACGGTAATAAAGCCTAAGCTCTTCCCAGAGAGGAGATCTTAACATTAAAAATGAAGCAAAGGTCATAGGTGTTGCTCTTGTAGTGGGGCTTGGTGTGGTTCAGGGTGGCTGGAGATTGCATCTCTTAAACAGTTAAATGCTTCTGGACCCACCCTTGAGTTCCTCAGGGCAATTAGTTAGTGACAGTTTTACTGCTTCCATTCTTTCCTTCAAACAATCTATTCTCCCTTGTAATGGTTATATTGATCTTAAAGTGTATAATGAATCAAGGAGTACCCTTTTCAAAACAATTCACTGCCTCTCCTTTGCAGTTAAAACAAATCCTAAATTTTCATCTTCACCAAGTCCCGCATGATCTGGTCCCTTTGTATCTCCCCTCACACCAGGCTTATGA